TCTTATTATTAAATTTTTTATTTAATTATTTAAAAATATTCAATAATATATAAAAAAATATAAATCACTAATAACAAATATATCTTAAAAGGTGACCATAAGACGAAAAGAATTTGAAAGAAGTTGGCATTTTGAATCTTCGGGGCTACCATTCCACTATATGATAATAATGACAATATTTTTGGCAAAGAAGGCTTATGATACAATGATAAGAGCATGATTGTCCCCCACTCCTCTAATCAAGTTGTACTTTTTGGGTTTGCATCTCAATGTACCATGATTCAATTTTCCTAAAGAATTACCATAAACAAATTTGAAAGTGGTGAACAGGCTCTCTAGGACCCACAAAAAATACTTACCACCAAACTTTTTTAAGATTTTGTTAATCATTCTAGAGACAAAGAAACCTATATTCCACTGCTTTGACACATTCAAATTCATGGTCCAAACACCATAAAAGGCTACATTCATCTAGATACTTCTTTTACTTTATGAGTAGCTCAACTCAATAAACCAACCTACCCAAAATATTGAACCTTACATCATAATTCTTTCTTATCCCCACCCCCCTCCCCAAATGATTGATCTCCCAAAACAGAATTCACTTAATTACTTGAAGAAAAAAAAATGATAATTTTTTTGAGTACTTTTAATTAACAATGTGTTTTTTCTATATATTTCAATAGAGCAAACAAGGGCAGGCACCACCTTTGGGGTATTAAATGAGGCAATTTGGAACTTATGAAGGCAATGTGACCCACAGACCTTACAAATTTGGATCTTTTATGTAAAATTTACTACAAACATTCAACGCATAGTTTTTATAATTAGGGCATTTTCATTTTATTGGAGTGAGAAAAATGAAGTAAGTAAAAAGCAATGTCCTTGTCAATCACTACCATGAAACTACTGGGTAATTTTCAGTCAGGAACTACACCTCTTGCAACATCCCATTTTTCCAAAGAAAAGAACAATGCAAAAGAAAGTATGATTTTCTGACTCACTCTTTTAATTGGTCCACTAGATATTCTGCTGAAACAAATAAACCAAACTACACAACTAACAAGTAGAAATAGAGAGAGTAGGTTAATGAGATGTGAGTTATTTTAATTTTAACGCTTACAAAGATATAAATTGTAACAACTTATTATTTTAAAGTAATTTCCAATAATAATAATAATAAATATTTTTTTATTAAAGTATGCCATAAATATTCAAAAAACTATGTTTTATATTTTTTATATAAATATTAATAAATAGAACGTAACATTTTTAATTATAAATTTTATATGTGTAAGTTGAAATAGTTTATCATCTTAATTTTTTATATCAATTAAAAAGAGAAACAAATAATAATATTAAATATAATAAAATAATAATATGTTTAATAAAATACTTAATATTTTAAGTTAAGATAAATTATTATAATATCTAAAAAATGATTTAATTAATATGTAACATTTTTTTAATTTTGAACGTGTATATATATATATATATATATATATATATATATATATATATATATAATACATTAACTTTCCTCGTATTTACTAATAATTCTTAAATACAGTGATAATGATAAATTTAATTTTAATAATAAATCATATAAAAACTAATTAAATATCTTATTTAGTCAACTTATATTTTTAGGATAAAGTAAATATTCTAATATTTATTAATAGTATTTTAATTAACTAGATCATCTTTGGATAAGAATAGATGTGGTGGGTTATTATAATTATGAATTCAATATATGTTTTTATACCTTTTTTAATTTTGTTGTATTTCTATTAAATAAATATCAATATTATTTTAAAAAATGTTTTTCACCGATCCGTAACTACTTGAAACAAAATAATGGAATAGTACTTCTATGTTGATGTAATGGTATTTTTTCTATTCTTAAAAAAAAAAGACCATCTATGAATCAAAGGTTAGGGTATAATATGAAATTTGACCATTAATTTTGGAGAGTCAAATAATATATTATTAATAAATAATAAATAAATGTAAAAAGAATAAAGAAGATGAAAGGGTAAAAGGATAAAATTGTAAATATATACTTAAATATATTAAATGATTATTAAGAATAAAGAAGATGAAAGGGTAAAAGGATAAAATTGTAAATATATACTTAAATATATTAAATGATTATTAAGTCGGAGAAAACAAAATCATAAATTACACGAGAGTTACAAAACTTAGGAGGATCGGAGAAGATAAAATTGTAAATATACAAGTAAATATATTAAATGATAATTAAGTTTGGAGTAAAATCATAAATTACATAGGAATTATAAAACTTTAGGGACCACGACCCTCATCTCCGAAGAAGATCCTGGATATAATACTAGACAATTTCACTAGGAAAAATAAAAAATAGAAACTTAAAGGTAGATGCAATCGTTCTAAAGTCTTATAATCCTTTTTTGCATCATGCTTTTATGCATTATATTAACTTGTAAATGGTGACTTCACCACGAGATGTGGCTGGTTCTTGGTATTTTTCTCAGCTCAATCAATGCTTTAACTTCCCTTTACGTCTCATTTTTGTAGGAGCCATGTGGCCACAAGCTACACCCGAGTAAAGGGCTCTTCTTCATTGACCAATCTTCCACAATTTTTCAGCCCAATCCATTCACTAATCAATATCTAACCACTTTTATAATTTTCTCACAACACAAAAACACGTTCTTTCCTAGTGGGGGGACACACACATGGACATAATCAACGTCACATTTTTCTAATTCTCTCCACCAAATCCAAATCACAATTATTGTCTTTTCTCACCAAATCCAAATATGCTCAAGCTGTCACGGTTATTTCAGCTCCAACATTAACTCAAGGATTCATTGCCCCAAACAGGGAATTAAGATGCCTGAATTCATAGATTTTGAATGGAATTATAATGGGTCACTAACAAAATTATTATTATTTACGATCAGTTAAAATTTATTAAAATAATTATCAATCCATAACTTATTTTAAAAAAATAAAATATATAAAATTTTAGTTATTTTATATTATTTATTAAAAACAAAAAAAATCACATAATAACTCATAAATAAAAAACAATAATAAATAATAATAAAATTTTAATAAAAAAATTATAATATTTTTTTAAAATAAAAAAATAATATTTGTTCTAATAAATAGAAGAATTCACTGTAAAATAAAAAAATTAATGATTTACAAGATAAATATAATGTTTTTTTATATCAATAAAGAAGCATCGATATATAATTTTTTTATCAGAAATTCTCTTTTCCTGTTATTTTTAAATATTTGTAAGTGATTCTGCTCGATTTATATATGTTTTTTTAGTAAGATTTTTTTTAATAAAATCAGTATTTTTTTAATATTAAATGATGTTTTTTAAATATTTCTTTTAAATTACTTATTTTATAAGTAGTTATCTTAAATTGAATCAACTTGGCACGGCGAATTAATTTGTAAGCCAATATACAATGTATTATCTAACTCTTTGTACGTAAATTTAACACATATCATTATGCAATCAATTAAGTGCTAATTATTTTGTGTGTGTCATTATATTGTAATTATCTTTTACAAACATTATATTTTAATAATGAACATTTATAACATCATGAGATTAACTTTTCCAAATATATTTATAGAAGACAATTGGATTTTGAATATTGAATATCCATAGCAAATCAAAGTTTACTTTTTTTTATTATATATTTTTTCAAATGTATGACTCAGACTTAATATCTTTCTTACGAAGAATTAATAATGTATTACTTCAATTCGATATTCATTATAGCTTATAAATGTTTATTTATTGGAAAATATAAAGCTACAAAGGAGTGAACAAATTATGTAACAAAATAATGTGAAAGGAGGAACATTTGTGTAGTGAATCTACGTCATCGAAGTGTCCGTTTGGTTTACACGTAAAATGAATTTCTTATATAATTTATATTTAAATATTAAAATTGTGTTACCTTGAAAAAAATATATAAAATTTGTGTTTAAAAAATGTTTTTTTTCCTATTTCTTTTTCATTATCAATTTAGGAAACCAAAACCTTGTATTTACCTGTGATCCAACAAGGAATGGAGTTGCTTTCAAGACTCATCAGCCCACAACAAATAACCTAGTTTTTTCTGTATGCACCCCTTTATCTTTCTTTCTGCACCCAATTTTCATCTAAACACAATATTGCCCATATAAATAAACTCTGGATTTAATCATCTGAAAGCTTTTCCGAATGAGTTTTTTTAAATATTCTAAAAAATGTGTCTTTTAAAAAGTTTTATGAAAACTTTTTAGAATTAGTTTTATGAAATATTTTAGAAAAGTTGATTCCCAAAAACTTATAAAAAAGTAAATCATATATGTGCAAATTTTTTTTTTAGATTTAACGTTTTGGAAATTTTTTGGATTAATTTTTTCCAAGTGGTAAAATTATATTTTGAATTTTATAACTCGAAAACTTAAAAATATTATATATTTTTAAATTTATTCATAATTTTTTTAAATTCTATAAACATAATATTATAATATATAAGAGTATAATTTTATTTTTATTAAATTAATTTTGTTAGAATCAAATAATCTCATCAAAGTTAATTATAACAATGATCAGACATGAAAAATTTTCTGAAAATAAGAGGATGTGAGGAAATATTTAAGACGAATGTAATAAAATCTCATAACAACTGTAAATATAACAAAATTATAATCTTCGTTGTAAATTAAAGATATTATTATTATTTTTTTAAATAGATATGGGAGTATAGAAAGAAAGTATGGAGGTGCTGCAAGAATTTGTTATTGCATAATCCAAATTGAGCTTTTTGAAGGCCCAATTACATGAAACAAGTGTTCTAATGTCAAACATCTGAATCAGCCTCGTAGGCCGAACAAAAGCACTTGCTTAAATCAAACTCCAATGCCGCGAGTTTGAGCGGTGACCGCCTCCACCGTGCTCAGCACAAAACCCAAACTGAATCTCGCTGAAAAATAAAAATAAAATGAACAACGGTTACACGGTGCGCGTGCGGGTGGCATTCACCGTCGCAACAGTAGCAGCCGTAGCTGCTATCATGTCCATCTTCTCCGCCGCGCGAAGGCGCAAACAACGTCAGTCCTGTTCGGGTTCGTGCTATTTGCATTCTGAACAGAAACAACAGAGTGCGTTCAAGCGCGTATTAGCAGACAATTCCTACACTCCATTCAAGCACCTCAGCAACAACCGTACATTTAACACTCCACATACTCTTTTCTGTGTTTGATTGCATAGAAAGAACACGTGAAAGTTCATGTACTCGATCGTGATGTTTAGTTGCATTAACTTTAGGAAATACGCAATAGCTGTTGCTTTCACATTTATAATGCCTCCAATTATTCAAAGACTTCTGTGCTTTTTTTTTTTGTGCGATTTTTTGCTCGAGGTTTAGAATTTGAAGAGCTTAGTGGATTTTGGTGATGTTTTCCGGAAACTTTTTATGAAATGGATTGAGTTGGAGGAAAGTTGAATTTGAAGTGATGAGCTATTGTAATTTTGTTATCGAGATTTCTTTAACAAAATTAGCACATAATACATAATAAATAGAGCTAGAAGGTTATAAAGATGAATCTGGGATTAGTTGTTTTCCTGCAGAGAATGCTTCGAATTCGCATCCGTTTGAAGCGGAGATTACAGCATTGTTGAAAACTCCTCAGCCTGAAATTGAATTTGGAACTGAGATTGTGGACTTCAAAATGAAGAATTCATATGTTTGGGTTCACACCGAGACGCAGTTAAAGGAATTAGTTGATGTGTTGAGCGAAGAGAGGTTCTTTGCTGTGGATACAGAGCAACATAGCTTACGATCTTATCTAGGCTTTACAGCATTAGTTCAGGTAATTTTGAACAGTTTTCAACAACTTGTCTCTGATAGCATTATGTCAGGAATTTGTTTGATAAATTTATTTATGCATTTGTCTTTCTTTGTCATCAAACAGATTTCTACGCGGGAGAAAGATTATTTGGTTGATACAATTGCCCTGCATGATTTTATGGGCATTCTTCGCCCAGTTTTTGCCAATCCTTCAATTTGTAAAGTATGTAAGTTATCAGCATCATAATTTATAATTTTTAGATTTAGAAAATTTTGGGGTTGAGGGGTTTTCTTCTTTTAGTAATATATAATATAGTTGGAATAATTCAGATTTTTCCCAGTTTAATTATACTTTTGATCTTTCAGGTGTTGTAATGTGTGATTTAGGTCTCTTATTTTGTCATGTTATCATCTAGTGTTACATCGGTGAAATTTATTAAATATATGATGAGAACAGATAAAGGGACCAAAATCACACATCTGCAATGCAATACCTAGAGGACCTAATTTGCGCAATTGGAATTTTGGGAAACTAAAATCGTACAACTGTGATTTTTGGGAGTCAAAAGTGCATAAGTAGATAGATAGGTAGATATTGCAATAAAAGCTATTATCTATTGAAGAATATTTTACTTAGTTTTCTGTCTGTATTTTTTCCTTCCAAATCTATTTATTACAGTTTTTTCCCTCTCAATGGAAAATTTGTTGATAGGTGTTCCATGGGGCAGACAATGATATAATCTGGCTACAGAGGGACTTCCACATATACGTTGTTAATCTATTCGATACTTCAAAGGTGAGCTGTCTATATATGATGCCACTGTCATGTTGCTGAACCATGTACCCTGCAGAGTTTTCTCCTCATGCATAACAGAACTGGAGAAGTGTACATTTTACAATTGACTTGCGGAAACTTTTTATTCTTTTTATTTTTTATTTTTTTAAATAGTGTGCTGTTCATGTACTGTAGGCATGCGAGGTGCTGTCAAAACCACAAAAATCACTTGCTTATCTGCTTGAAACTTACTGTGGTGTGACAACAAATAAATTATTACAGGTTTGACTTATCACACTCGATCCTTCATTGAATGAATTTATTAATTATCTTCAATAAAGTTGTGGTCTTGAGTATTTAGTACTTTCCATTTAGAGCTGGATAACTAATATTTAGAAAAATGTAATGCCTAAAGTTTTCATTTGTTCATGTGGCTGAGTTCAGCCTACAATGAATTTGAGCATTATAAAAGAAATTATAAAGTTATGGCATTCTATTAGCTTTTCACCTAGGAATGGTGGACTTCTCCTGTCTTATCTAGAGTGGAAGAATTACTCTTCCATTCAGGGAACTAATTTTCTTTTATAAAGTTTTTGTAACATTCTTTCTAATTATTCTTTCAATTGTTTTGTTGGGTAAACCTCAATTATAAATTTCTTTTGTACATAGGATTACAATTGAAACATTTGAAGGAGTTTGACCCCTAGCAGCAGATATTAAGGCTACAATTTATTGTAATAAAATGGCAAGCGATTACAAGTATTGGAATAAGAGAATAATTGAATATTGCATGAATGTTGAATTTATACTAGATCTTGCATATTGAACTAAAACAGAGAAAAAATTAGTGGGCATGATAAAAATACAGTAGTTGATTCTAGCCTGAAACTATAATAGTGAATTCATTTTCACAATCATGTAAGCAGATGGTGTAATAACACATATTCTGACTTATTCGTGGTCATCATTTAAATTGAAACTGAGATTGCTCCTGCAAATTAGAAGAGATTTCTGAATCAGACATTTGAATAGCTCCCTTTTCTAATTTTCAGAAGTAGCCATCTGAACAATAAATTATATTTGTGTCCACAATTGCATTGGCAATGAACTGTTTATAATGTTATTACATTGGTTATTAATGATGCAGGCAACTAGATATTTATTGAGGTATATCAAAGAATAGAACTTTGTTTCTTATTAAGAAATTGGATTAATAAATTCCAGTTATGAGGACACCACAAAACTTTGAGCGGATGCACCTCTCAATGCCCAGAGGCCCCAATTCTCTCGCTGAAAATTACAAGATGGTCTCTTTTTCCTGCTCCCCTCTTATATATGGGCAACATGGCCTATTCAACTATCTCACCTAACCAACTAATGGGTGACTAACTAACCTAATGTACTTAACTACGAATGGGGCTATCTAACAAACCTTTTTCTATTTCATGTGTAAAAATGACAAGAAAAAGATACAATGCTTTTATTCTATGTTTGGGATGTTTTTGGTTAATGTTCAGAACTGATTTATGTTTTATGAGTAATTGTAGCGTGAAGACTGGAGACAGCGCCCTCTCTCAGAAGAAATGTTACATTATGCCCGAACAGATGCACACTTTCTGTTGTATATTGCAAATTGTATGATCAATGAACTGAAACAACTGGACAACGGTATTCATTCTTGTCTTAAGTTGTGAGGAAAGAGAGAAAAGATAGGAAAAAAAAAAATTCTGACAAATGTTAACCATTTTATTAAGTAGACAAGAACTTTGAAAATCTCCCTCATCAAGCTTTTATCCTCCTTCTATATTTTTCCTATGCCTTAAAAAATACGGGTTTGAACGTAAACAGGTTATTTTATAAACAGATTATTTTATACCTGAGATGTGCAAGATCTGCAACCAATAATTATGATGTGGCCCTTAGCATCTTCTCATTTTAACCAGATTATTGTGATGGATTAATGATGAAATAAGTTTTATGTTTGTTTGTCACTTCTCATCTCAACAACTTAGGACTCTTAATGTTGTTGGGTCTAAATTCTAATTTATTGTTGTTTCAGAAAGCTCTTGTTCCGGTGACAAATTCCATTTTGCTCTGGAGGCTAGTAAGCGATCAAACATGATCTGTTTACAACTTTTCACGAAAGAGATTGAAGCTTATCCTGGAGAATCTTCTGCATTATCATTATTTTCCCGTCAAGTGAGCAGTCATGGTTGTCCATCTATTTCAAATGAAACCCAGGTTTGCTGCTTTCTGTTCAGATTTTGAGTATTATGAGTAGTCCTATGGGATACGTTGTTCTAATGTGATCTTCTGATTATGGATTTAGAATATTGTGAGGCAACTATGCGCATGGAGAGATCTGATGGTGAGTTATAATATATAAAGGCTCCTTAAATTTAGCTACCATTTAAGAATGGTTTTATAATTAATACTCTACTGCTTTAGTTTGCAAATTAATGTGTTGGAGCATAAATTCATGCTGTGTTCATAATCATCTGGGAGATCTTGTCATTTTATTTTTCAAATTATGGTAACATCTTTTTATGCTGTGTCGCAAAACCAAACCCAGTAACAGTGGACTAATATGTTTAAAATTATTATAATTGAAAATACTAGACATATTCAGTTATTTATTGGTGGGATAATTTTTCAAGTGTATTATATATAGCAATAGGAGTGTTTAGGTTTAAGTTCATTTCTGCCATAATTTATATCCCAACAATAAATCTATAAAACTAATTGTCTGCTGGATTTAGCTTATTTTGGAGAAGTAATCTCTTTTTCTAACTTTATATTTTTGGGCAAAAAAGCTATAATTTTCCCAGAAAAAAAAAAGTTTCCAAGCATGTGATTAGTTAAACTGAAATAAATTTATAAATTAATATTCTGTTGCTTGCTGTACAAATTTTGATGTAGCGCTGAAACTATGTTAGTAACATGAGTTGATTATTCTGTGGCATGTCCATACTTCAGGCTCGCATTCACGATGAGAGCTTAAAATATGTACTCTCAGACCAGGCAATTGTTGCTTTGGCAAGTCAGCCTTCGGCAAGTCAATCTGAAATACAAAACACTATAGCTCAGGCTGATGTCAATATGGAAATGGGTGTGAACTCTTTCATCATTTCCCCATCTCCTGTTGTTTCCAGTCACCTGAGTGATATCTATCATCTGCTTGCAAACAAGTTGGTCAATGACGATGATATTTATTCAGTAATTCTTCAGAAGTGTATAGGTCAAAATGGGAGTTGTCCACTTTCTATATTTAATTATGCTTTGTTGATAAACAGTAACCTAAGACCTAATTCAGCCCATAAACAACTGGGCCCAAAAAATCCTAAACATTATTCTCGGAAGGCTTCACGAGATTTGTTTGTTCAAAAATTCTCTTGTAAATCTCCCGTATATCACAATTGCCGGATATTTGCTAATGATGGGAGACTGCTTTGTTATTGTGACGAGAAGAAGCTTAAATGGTTTGTGCACTCCATTTTTTTCTAGTTTTTAGACTGAAAAGTTCTGTTGGTTTCTCTTTGATTAAAGTTTAAATTTCCAGGTATCTTAGTCGGGATCTTGCAAAACTTGTTGACGAGGATCCCCCAGCTATAATGCTTCTTTTTGAACCCAAAGGCCGCCCAGAGGACGAAGATAATGACTTCTATATCCAAAGCAAGAAAAATATATGTGTTGGGTGTGGTGAAGGAAATCACTACTTACGGTATAGAATAATCCCATCATGTTACAGAATACATTTCCCGGAGCATTTGAAAAGCCATCGTTCTCATGACATTGTCCTACTTTGCGTGGATTGCCATGAGGTTGCACATGCTGCTGCAGAAAAGTATAAGAGGAAAATAGCTGTTGAATTTGGTATCCCTCTTTATCTTCGGAGGGTAGTTCATCCAGGTCAAAAGGCTGAAAAACAAATTGAAGAGAGTGGTGTCTCTCCATTACAGTTACGAACAGCTGCTATGGCTCTTCTACGCCATGGCCCAAGAATGCCTGCCAATCGCCGAGAAGAGCTGACTGAGGTTTGATTGATTTTCTGTCTGTTATTGGTTGCTTTGACATAACATTTGACTGTTGTAATGGCCCATCTGATGAAATTCTATTCAATAGTTTGAGGTAAATGTTGTTAGAGATAGCCAAGTGAAATTGATCTGTTTAAGGAATTCATTGGAGATAGACTAGATGCATTATAAAGATAAAATATGCGTTCTAAATTATACTTCTGCAGTGATTATCATTGTTTGTTATTTGTTAATTTACATGCAGATTATAAAGAAATATTATGGAGGAAGGGACATATCTGACAAAGATCTAGAAAGAGCTTTGCAAGTTGGCATGACTCCTCACGAGAGAAGACGATTTGAGAAGAAGAGAGGGTTTTCTTTTAAACATTCCACTGGGAGTACTGCTACAGTGCCTGAACAGAATAAACATGTTGGTTGCTCACCCAGAATGAGTAATATAGATGACTTTAAAGTTGTTACTCATGATGGCTCATCTGCAAATGAAGTAGATACAGAACTTTTCATGGAAAAAGATGATTTTAGAAACTCCACTAAAGCTTCTAATATTACAGTTAATGGAGCTGCCCCATCAATTTTGAATAAAAGTGGGATTACTGTTGAAACTACAGATTGCAATGAAGACAGTGATTCTGCTGTAAATGTTGATAGCAGCTGTCTGAGCAGAAGGCAAACAAATGGACTTGGTTACTTGTCCTGTTCCCCCAATGATGAAAAATATATACAAATCGAACATAATGCAAAACTCTCTCTCTTGGGACATGGACCACATGGGAAACAAGTTGTAGAACATTTACTGAGGGAGTATGGTGAAGATGGCGTTCGAGAATTTTGTCAGAGATGGAGACAAGTATTTGTGGACGCTGTAAAACCACGTTTTCTTCCTGGTGGTTGGGATGTAAAACACAGGTATGCATTCTACGATTATTTTTCTTCTATCTTTCCAATCACAAGTTTTCATCCTTATGGCGTTAATTTATGCTCATTGAGCATCTATTTCATATATTCAGTATACATAAATAATAGTAGCCCTTATATAAACTGAAAGAATATATAAACAAGTCATTTTCAAGTTGATGCAAAAAAGACTAACTACTCAAATCCGAAAAAAAAAGACAGACTATTTTTAGTTTTGTACATCATTGATGAATATAGTTCATATTCAGAATTGGGTATTCACATTATTTAGTCATTTAATTTAATTATTTACGTCTAACTTAGTTCGGTTTGTAAAAGGTAATTGATGTTGTTCAAAATCGTCCCCAATATATCCTAGTTAATATTCCAAAATATTTTCATCTTCGTTTTACTGGTCATTAGATAGTTTATTTGCAGTGCACTTGTATTGTAATACTGATGTGTATAGCAACTGAGTTTCATTCCTTTCCTCGAGGCTTTGATTTTGGACACTATTTTTGCCAGTGGGAGAAGGGACTTCGGGGAGTTCAGTGTATACAAACCTGACAAGAGAGCAGCTTCTGCTACTGGAGAGTAACTCAGCAGGAACTACTATAACTGCGTGTTTTGGTATTTCAATGCCGTCAAACTATGTTACACACTCAGCTTCTAGCATAGACTCGTTAATTCATTTTTTGTTGATTTTACCATTTGATAATTCCTGAGCATTTTTGTCATTTTGTAACAGAAGTACAAATAACTTTATTCAGGACATTTTTGCCCATGCTCTAATTATGCAAACATGAATTTACGAAAGCAACAGCGTTATGACATGTTTACCGGGCATAACGCCTAGTGATAAAATAAATACCAAAAGCAAATATATAGATTTATTACACCTGCTAAAGCATTTAATTTTCTTTTTATAGATTTATTTTGGGAGGAATGAATAAAAAGGCGTAAGAGTAATAAAATTTTAGGTAGTATTGTGCACGATATTTTACGCTGCAGCTAAAAAGATACTTTACATGTAAACAAATAATTCATTTAATAAAGAGGGCACTTCAATTTTGCAAATAGATATTTTCCATTTTGATGTTGGTCATCCATATGTTGTTACAAAATTTGTGTATAAAACAAGAATCCACTTATACTCCACCTAACGAGCAAAAATCCCTCGGTAGTACACAAGATTAAAGGAAGCCATAGTCATAAAAGATTGTCCGTGCCATCAAACCCTTGAATCTTCTACTAGAAATCTATATCAAAACCATTGTAGAAGTAGTTATAGTGACAACAGCTGCGATTTGTGGTCAATGCCGTTGAATATGTAGGTTCCAGACATTGGTACGAATTGCCTTGTTATGAGCTGCGAGAAACATAAACAACGTGATTCCCAACTCAAATACAATATATTCTTAAATAGGATAAACAACATTAACTTCCGCTGTTGCAACTTTCAGATAAGACGATTTTGCAAGAGTATGACTACCTCAAACTACAAAATTCCATTATCATAAAGAGAACAGGAAACTCGAATCAAATGCATTGGGGTGGATTTTTAGTCGAAAAACTGATATGTTAAGCCAAACAACAATAGGGTGATTATCCATATCTGTTGTTTACGAGAAAATTTGACGAATGCTTTCCTATATCATACAATCACACTATAGCCATATCTAGCCTCCAGTATAAAAACCCTTTTACATTGGTTGCCTGCCACTAAACCCAATTTTCTCTCTAATTTTTTAAATGGCATTCACTTTCACATACATTATTCATAGCCGGTTAGTGAGCAATACCCTCTTTCCCAAGTCCTATGTATGGCATGAATCCCCTATTATAATATAAATCCATTATCGGTATGACCTGCTCATTCCATCCGCTATTAATGTTGGCCGCCAAATGCAGACCACATTCGTTGTGCAAGCTTTTATGAAATTTATTACATGGTTTGTATCTGAATCTGGATACACAACACCTGGCCAGGAAGGACCATGATCATTGGACATTGGATTAATGAAAGGTAAAAATTTGACTGGACAAAGAGGCTGTAAAATTTTCCTATAATAGGCTAAGCAAACAACCCAAAATTAAAAAAAAATATAAAAAAAACCTTGCAAACAAGACTATTCAAGATGAGCAAGAATTGCAAACCTTGATCACTTCTTGCGATGCAATTCCTCCAACCAAAGCAGCAACAGCATGAAGCTCTGCAGCACCAAAGCGACACATCTCGCTGATAAGGTCCTCAGCCAAAGTGGCACCGTTGCATCCCAAGTCATTAAGTAAGCTAATTGCTGTGCTCTTTAATCGTGGTATATCCTCGTCCATTGCACTTCAAGACAATTACCATAAGCAAAAACCAATCTCAAAAAATAAGTCCCATTATAAAAACAGGAAAATATTGAGATTCTATACACTCAACCGTGTGAAGCATTACCTGTCAAACTGTCCTGGAAAACTGTTGTAGTTAGCAGCAAACCGGTCAGCAGCACGAAGCAAAATATAAATTCCCACAGCAATGCTGCCGCGCATAAACACAATAGTAGGTTTTCAGCAAAACACATTTCCACAGGTTAATGCGTAATATGGAAACCGTCCAGAAATTTAACTTATAAAATGAACGTCACCTGTAATCCTCATCAGTTAAGTACTTCTGTAAATCAGGTAGGTTTGGAGAGTTAAACTCATCTTCAATTAGACGGTACCTGCAAACCTACAAAATAAAGATTAGGATCTGTACAGAAGACTTTGCAGGCATCTATAATCATGTAATTGCCCTAGATAAAGGGAAGGTAAGAAGCTTTGGGGAAGAAATAAAAATTTGCAATCATCTACGCAGAAATATTACCCAACTTACTTGATTAATTAACAACAATACGAATAGAAATAATACTCTACCATTAAGAAGAGCATGGTGGAATTTTCAATCGAATCTTATTGGTCCTAAAAACACAAATAATAGTGTAATCCTTTTGAATGTTCATTCTACCAAAAAAAAAAAAAACTAGCCCAATTCTTAGAGTCAGAAAAATTGGGTTATAGAACCTAACCAATGTTTGATTATTTTTTTGGACCAGCTCAAGAAATTTTAATCAAACTAAATTAGATTACTGCAGCAAACAGATGGAAGTAAATAAGTGGTTCTTTGCAAAATTCATCAGAAGCATTCGCCTAATCTAAATTGAACATCAGAAAAAATGTTGGTGTAGTTTATAAATTATCTAATTTCATTTAATGCACAGAATGCTAACAACTGCCTTCAGAACTTTGGCTGAGACATTAAGGACATCAAAAGTTTTCATGATAATAAGGTACTAACGCACCCTTGATACCAGAAGAAAAGTAGTAGAGTATGGCAAGTTAAAAGACAGTCAGGTATGCCTGATGAGTAAAATCCACAATAATATTGAGATTGGCCCAGGTTACATTAGTTTCTAACTGATGGGAACTTTTCAATCGTAAGACCTTTTAGTTTAAGACTTTTCTAAGGGAAAGAATGACAACTTTCGTTAGGTTAATAGGGCTCATAGCGAAGTTAGACAACGGAGTATGTAAAGTTGATTTTATCTTATATAGATATTAGAAATTTCATCCATTTGACTTCTTGGATTCATTTTATTTTTCTCTCTTGAATGTGCTTGTTATAGAGTTTATTTAAACTAACCAATTGTCGATTATATACAGATAATCAAAGACCTTTTAAGATGGAGATTCGGTAACTAGACAAATTGAAGCAAATCATTATTAAAAAATACGGAGATCATTCCCAATCACTATTTGCTATATAAATTGAATTTGATCTTTAATTTCACAGCTTACTTTGAGTTTTCTAGCATTTTTACAGAAGCTTTTAATCGTTGACCTTGGAATGCTATTTGAATCTCTACCAATCTTCTTCAATGTACTTCTCACTAGACCTTCTATTACAAGAAAATCAGCCTCAGCTTTTGCGTGATAGATATTCTGCAAATGCACATATTGCCTGGAGGAACATCAATATATCTCAGGTGAATAAACTAATTGTTCAAAAGTTAACAGCCAGAGACATGTTGGCTGAAACTATGTGCATGAATACATCACATAAATTGATTTATGTAGGCTTAATACATTAATTAGAAATAATAGAGAATATATTGTTTCCTATAATGAGAGATTTTGTTGCCTATGTGTAAAATAGGCAACACTAATGTTTTTGTTTTCTATACAAAATAAAAATTACTCTGAAAATATGCAAAGTTTTGGCTAATTACTCAGTAGAAGAAGTCATATCTGGTATAGATCCTTCAAGAGGAGCTTCCCCACCACCTTCATTTGTAATGAAATCCTGCAAAAGGGTGAGACATGTACCATCAAATAACTAAGTACAGGCACTCATCAAGAACACTCACATGAATTTGTCTCACAGCAACACATTACGACAAACTCATATATAAAAACTTTCTGTGACTCCTCCAGTCTTTCAATTTCACAAGTTCTAACTAATTACCCTCAAATTAAAAAAATTATAATTTTAAACATATATGATTGTTTTCCACATCAAGTGAAGCAAAGCCAGTGATGCAATGCCAGAAGCGCCAACCTTCAGGGCTGCCACCAATACCCAAAAATCTGATGAGTTAGAATCCACTTCAGCAGAACTATCATTTAGTATCTGTTGCAACTCCGCACCTAGGAAAGTACACAATATTAGAGAATAAATCATATTTTTTATTGGACTGAAGATGCAGATGTTCCTAAAATAACTAAGTATTCTAGTTTTACATGAAAATATTTTTCTTTTAATGAAAAAGATTGAAAACTAGAAAAGAAATTCAAATGACAGCACCCTGAACAGGTGACAACACATTCTTCAAGCAAGCACTTTATGGATTTGTCATTTTCACAGAAGAACAATTCTCCAACGAACATGTTTATGTAACTTCATTGCAGAACTCAACAAATAGATTTTTGGAACCCTTAATATATAGTAAACTTGACATCCAAAAGATTAAACAGTTTTCTTTAGTTTTATTTTTGTCCCAGCTCCCAAGTATCCTGTAAATTGAAGCCTACAAGCTCTGAGAAAACAATCCATCATTATGCTCCTTATGCAATAAAACAAAAGGACACAGATTCTTGAAATGAAGATTGACAAAGGAAAATTTTTAAAATAAATTAGTCTTAAATTATCTACTTACTTATTCCTCGGGGAGCAAATACTTTGAATGATGAATCAATAGCTTCTTTATAATTATCTTCATCTTGTGCAACCATCCCAGCCTTAAGAAGCTCCTACATAGTTCACATCCGAAGCTAATCATATAACAAGAACAGAAGTAGATAAATAGACTAAATGATTAAACAAACAACCTTGAACTCCTTCTTTTCTTCTCTGGTTGATGGAAGCCTACCACCATGGCTTTTGGCCCACTCATCAGCCATCTTGACAAGAATGACAACATATGGTATGTGCTTATGGGCCACAGGATCTTGTACATTCAAATCAATGTCATCTGCAAATCTGTAGATACACGTGCAATCAAAATTCAAGTGAAACTGGGGAAGAAACATATCTATGGTCTCAGCTTTTCAGCAATTAATTAATTCCACAAGACTGGTGACATTGATGAAGGAAATACCAGATCTTGGTATATAAGCAAAAACAATGGGCAGCAAAATGCACCAGGGTCAAACCTAGTGGAGTCCAGGAACTTTACCATCTCACCAAGGGCAAGGCTTGCCCTTATCTTAGTATCTAAAAATATTATTCAAGATGAAGATAAAACTACTATACCTCTTGAGTTCAGGCCAAGGATTATTTAACCGGAGATCATCCAAAAAATGTTCAGGCTTGGACTCAATCACATCATGTTCCTAAAAAAGCCAACAAAAAGTACTATTAAACTAAAGCATGAAAATTGTGTTGATGCTCAAAAACACACCAATGCTTTCCATCAAAGTATTTTTGCTTTTGTATTTCATGCATATGAATACAAAAGAAAATTACTTACAGTCAATCTATTGCAATTACAACCACTATTTCCCTTCTCTTTATAATAACATTTTCTAAATGAGTATGCTCCATTATTTTCCATTCTCTTTGACAAGTCAAAGATTAGATCAAAATGAAGTCTGTGATAAAAATTAACTCCTAACATCATCAAATATGAGATGAATTGAAAATTATCCATTTACCAAATTACCTTCACACTAATTCGAACAAAGCCTGTAAGGCCATAGGAGCGAGCAAAGATCAAGATAACATTTTCCTCCCTGCAGATTCGGTCAAGCTTTATCATTGAATTTTCCACGAGCTGAAAGTTTATCAAGATTACCATTAATGGGAGTGCACTTGAAAAGAATATGTAACTCTTGAAAAATAGATTAACTGAAATATGATATTTTATTATATCAATACAAAGAGATGATATAAGATATATACAAGAGACCTAAACTATTTTAGGAAATATAATAACTCTATTTTATGCTAGGATCCCTTGATTTATGGGATTGTTCCTAATTATTCAAATCTGTACAGATTACAAGGAAATATACAAATTTCCTTATTTATTCTTTCCTAAAATACTATTTGATTTCTCACACTCCCCCTCAAGCTGGTGAATAGATGTTTTCCATTCCCAGCTTGGATACAATCTTCTCAAAATTATGGCAACCCAGTCCCTTGGTAAGAATGTCTGCAATTTGGTCTTGAGAGGACACATATGGAGTGCATATCAAGCCACTATCAAGCTTTTCTTTGATGAAGTGTCTCGTCTACTTCAATATGCTTTGTTCTATCATGCCGCACTGGGTTGTGGGCTATACCGATTGCTGACTTATTATCACAATAGAGCTTCATAGGTTCTTCTCACTTTATCCTCAAGTCTTCTAAGATGATTTTAAGCCATAGCAACTCACATATACCTTGTGCCATGGCTCGAATTCCGCTTCAAAGACTGGACCGAGCCACTACACCCGCTTTTTGCTTCTCCAAGTCACAAGATTTCCTCCAAGAAAGGTGCAATATCCTCGTAGTTGACCTCTTATCCACAATTGACCCCGCATAATCAGCATCAGTATAGGCTTCAAGTTTCATATTACCATTCCTTTTGAATAGAATCCCTTTTCCTGGAGTTCCTTTAAGGTACCGTAAAATTTTGTGGGCAGCCTTGTAAATGGGTCTCCTTTGGGCTATGCATAAATTGGCTAATTAAACTCACCGCATAGGCAATATCTCGGCCTGGTATGTGACAAATATATAAGTCTGCCCACTAATCTTTGGTACATATCTTTTTCAACAGAGAACATCTTCTTCGCATTTCCAAGCTTTAGGTTTGGTTCTAATGGGGTACTAGCAGGTTTGCAAGCCGCCTTGCCAGCTTCCTTGAGCAAATCGTTGATGTATTTCTGCGAGATATAAATATCCCTTTCTCGAGTGGGCAACTTCAATTCCCAAAAAATATTTTAGTTTTCCCAAAGTCTTGATCTCAAATTCCTTGCCTAAGCATTGACTCAATAATCGTTGCTCTTCTTTATTATCTCCAGTTAATATTATGTCATCCACATACACCAATAATATTGTTACTCCCCCGACTTGGAATGTTTAAAAACAAAGTATGGTCCCCTTGGCTTTGTTTGTAACCCGGACTTGTCATAACTTTAGTAAACCCGCCAAACCATGCATGGGGGACTGTTTTAACCCATATAATGCCTTTTTCAACTTGCAAACAAGTGTTGGTAGCAACATCTTTACCATATCCCGAGGTATCTCCATATAGATTTCTTCTTCAAGGTCTCCATGTAGGAAAGCATTCTTAACATCAAATTGTTCCAAGTTCCAACCATAATTGGCAGCAAGGGACAATATCACCCTAACTGTGTTCATTTTGGCAATCGGAGCAAAGGTCTCCAAATAATCAACTCCATAGGTTTGGGTGAACCCTTTGGCAACTAGTCTTGCCTTATATCTCTCAATTGATCCATCGACCTTGTATTTCACCGTATAGACCCATTTACATCCAACTCGGCCTCTTTCCTATTGGTAAGGTGACTAACTCCCAAGTGTTGTTTTTCTCCAATGCCTCCATCTCTTCATCCATGGCTTGCCTCCATTTTCTCGTCGACAATGCCTCGGATAGGGTATTAGGTAGAAGTACAGTTGTTTAGGTTTACTAGGAAGGTTTTATGGGTAGGAGAGAAATTTTTAAAGGACAGGTAATTTGAGAGAGGGTAGAGTGGTTGTTTGGTGCATTTTCTTGTTCCTTTTCTAATGGCAATTGGGAGGTCAGGATCATTTTGGGTTTCAATTTCAACCTCGCATACCGGAGAAAAAATTGTTACCTCTTTTTGTGGAGTCGAGTTGGATTCTTGGACATGGCTTGATCCTCGGAATGACCTTAGTCTTCCTTGAGTACACTAGCTTCTTACCAAATTTTCCAGTTTCAACATCTTCTTGATCAGCTTCACAATTAATTTCACTTTCTTGACCAACTTCCTTTGCTTGACCAATTCCTTGACTTGTTTCATTTGTTACAACTTCAATTTGATCTTCAATTTGATCTTGTTTAGGTTCAAATGTCAAGTTTGGAAGAATGAGAAAACCAGAATCACTACTTTCCTTGTCTTCCCTGAAACTCTCCCCTTGAAGATAAGGTTGATGGAAATAGCCCTCTTGTTCATTGAAGGTAACATCCCTAGACACAAAGAATTTTTTGGATGGGGGTGGTAGCATTTATACCCTTTTTGAGTGGGTGAGTAACCAACAAAGACACACTTTAAGGCTCTAGGATCAAGTTTTCCCCGTCTCGTACTATGAATATGGACATATGAGATGCAGCCAAAAATTCTTGGTTTAAGATTATTTGTAGTAGACAAGTTTGGATAGAAAGACGACAAAACTTCCATAGGGCTTTTTGATCCTAAGACTCTAGAGGGTAGTCAATTGATAAGGTATGTTGCTGTAAGGACAAACTTCCCCCATAAATTTTTTGGGACACTTTTTTGTAACAACAATGCCCGAGTCTCGATTTAATAGATGTCCATTTTTCCTCTCTCGCGACCCCATTCTCGTTGTGGTGTTTTGACACAAGAGGACTCATGAATTATACCTTCTTTTTGACAAAAAGAATTAAGGACATGATTGAAGTAATCTTTGGCATTATCTCGACCTAAGCCTCTTAATATTAACACCAAACCGATTTTTTATCATGGAGTGGAAGTTTAGGAAGACAGAACCGACTTCGATTTTTGTTTAAGTAGGAAAACCCAAGTGACCCTTGTACAGTCATCTATAAAGGTGACAAACCATCGAGTACTGCATACATTTGGAATATTAGAAGGTCCCCATACATCAGAATGAACAAGATAAAAAGGGAAATTGCTAATTCTATTACTTATTGGAAAAGATATACGTTTGTGCTTAGCAAGTTCACACACCTCACAATGAAGACTCTCAACATCTAACTTGGTAAATAGAGAGGGAAATATAATTTTGATCACTCCAAAAGAGGGATGTCCCAACCGACAATGATAAAGCATGATTTTTTCTCTGTTGTTCATCAAGGATTCGGATATGAAGGAGTGAGAGATTCTATTCTTGTCAGGCAGACTTGGATCTTCGAGATAATAAAGGCCATTCCATTCTCTAGCATGTCCAATCATCCTCCCCGAATCCTTATCCCGAAATACACAATGATCGTTGGAAAAAACAACTTTACATGACAAATCCTTTATAAGTTTTTGTATAGACACTAGGTTCGTGGACAACTTTGGGACATGGAGAACGTTTTTTAAGGTTATTAAAGGATTGATTTGGATATTTCCTTGACCACATGCAGCTATAAGGGTTCCATCTCGCGTGGCAATTTTCTTATTGCTGGGACATGGGGAATATGTGGAGAAGTGTTTGGCTAATGGTGTCATGTGATCTCGTGGCTCCAAAGTCCAATATCCAATAATGGTTAAAAGGCATATGTGAGACATTTAATCCAAAAGAAGGTGGAAACTTACCCGAGTATGCCAAAGAACACATACATGTAGGTTTTTCCAGACTTACTAAGAATGGTTTTCACCCTTTCTATCTCCTCTTCCCTTGACATTATAGCAAAAAGGTGCGATGCAACAACAATGCAGTCGTCGTCTTAGGATTATGAAAAATGCAACGAAGAATGTAGGCCGCCGTCTTAGGGTTAAGAAAAATGCAAGCAGCAATGCAGTCGTCGTCTTAGGGTTAAGAAAAATGCAGCAGCAATGCAGTCGCCGTCTTAGGGTTACAAAATATGCAGCGAAGCAATGCAAGCCGCCGTCTTAGGGTTTATCGAGCGCAGACAGAGCTTCCTAGATCGGAAGCTCGATACCATCTTGAAAAATAGATTAACTCGAAATATGATATTTTATTATATCAATACAAAGAGATGATATAAGATATATACAAGAGACCTAAACTATTTTAGGAAATATAATAACTCTATTTTATGCTAGGATCCCTTGATTTATGGGATTGTTCCTAATTATTCAAATCTGTACAGATTACAAGGAAATATACAAATTTCCTTATTTATTCTTTCCTAAAATACTATTTGATTTCTCACAGTAACCTTTTTTAATTGAATAATAAAGATATATTGTCAATTGATGCATAGCTTTCTTTCAATGAGAAAGATACACAGAAAATCAGAATTATGAACATAATCACACAACCATCATTACACAAAAACATCAATTATTTGTCTCATAGGACTTGTCTGCATTATACCTGAGTGGCAACAACCAAAGTGAATTGAGAAAAGAATGATGGATTTGTCTCAATCAATGTTTCAGGAGACTCTTCTACAAACTTAGCTTTCACTGCATCATTCAGCTCTTGAAGAAATGAGCACACACATCTGGCCTTTGACTTTCCGAGGCTTGACTCGTCCACTACAAGAGACAAAAATGAGAACCAAAAGGGATTCACAAATGCATAACCACTGTACAATAACAACTTGTTGTACCCAAAAAATTGTTTCCAAGGTCACCCTCTTCAACTTTAGACCCATCAACTACAGTGATGCTTCCAATTCCACCAAGAACAAGATTCTTAAGAGTTTCAGAACCGGTAGGACCGCAGTTAAGTAAGCAAATACTAGATTTCTCAAGGGCTGCTTGTCCTTGATCACCCCATATTCTGCATTTTCAAATGAACAATGCAATATGGATGAGATTAGAGATGTCTCGAAGACTGTCCCCAAACAAATTAATGAAAAAAAATATGGTAATGTTAGGTTTGAGAAAACACTTTCTACTCTCATTTTCTGTTTTCAGTTTCAATCACAAAAATGCTACCATATTTTCACTTCATTTTTATGCTTTGAAAAGTTTACACAAGAAAGAGTGAAAAACTTTGTATTATTTTCAGTATAACAAAATTCTCCACTCGTTCAAAATTCTCGTTCAACGAACTAACGCACATAACACTCAAAACAATTTTATATATACAAAACACGGTAACAGCCGAATCAATCCAACATATATACCCACTCAACACGCGAATCAATTGACTATATACCACAATATACACTCCAACACTTATATGAAAATTTAGTTATCCGCGGAATGGGTTCGGTAGGTTTTGTAAGAGGAACACGGTTAGGTTAGCGGAAATGGAAAATTAGGTAAATGAGAAAATGGCGAGCGTACCTGAGCTGGCGATCGTACTTGACCTTAGGTTCTGCCATTGTTGAATTCAAAACGTGTTTTCTTTTTCTTTCTTCACTCTTTCAGTTGCTATTTGTTTGCTGCTTCTGAGTAGTAGTTTGCTTTGCTTACTACGAACGCAGTGTACCAGGTTCAGTTTAGTTTGTAGAGTGGAAACGGGAAACTTGACGTCACGAGTTTAAGAGACGACGTCGTGCGATATCACGTTCAGCAGATATTCAGTGTCTGGACCATTTTTTTTATACAAGAAGGACCGAAGAGGCTTCACTTAATATGTAGCCAATTGTTAGTTACTATCAAATTTATTAATTTATATTTCATTTTTTTTTCTTAATCACTTTTTTTATCTTGTGTGTTGATTATGAATGAAATGGCAATATTTATTTATCTAAGTTTATTAAATGAAAAACAATCACAAAATAAAATATATTTTTCATATTTTATCTAATTTTTACATAACATTAATTATTCTATTAAATTTTTAAAAATTAATTAACTTTATTTTATATGATTATATATATGTATATATGTATATATATATATATATATATATTAATATATTTAATTTTAATTATAAGAACATCAACATCATAATTAAATATATATATATATATATTAATGAAGTTTTTGCTGTAATTCTACATATAACCCTTAAAGTCATATTTATAAAATATTTATATCATTTAATAATGATTTATGTAACATAAAAATAATAATTTTTTTATGATAATAATTATAAATTTAATAGAATAATTAATAATTAATGAAAATAAAATAAATATTTAAACTAAATATAAATATTTTAGTATGTTTATTTTATTTTTATTTTTTTAACTTAAATAACTTGTACAAACATTTTATTATCAATAAAAATAATAAATTAATGATAAGATTACTTAAAAATATTTTTTTTATAAAGTACTCTGTGGGAGGTGCTAAAAACGTTATCGTTATTAAAAAGTACTTTGGAAAATTAAGATTTCATAAAGTATTCTATGAAATGTTAAAATTTAAATTTTAGAATATATATATATATATATATATATATATATATATATATTAATTTTTTTAAATTAGATTCAAAATATTTTTACATTATGCGCTAGTCATTTGTTGAACCCTAATTTCGCCATGCATATTTCTATTTTTTGAACACAAAAAATATTTTGTCCAAAAATAACCCCTAAAAACATTTTTGTTGAACGAACATTTTTAAAATATTGGCATCAATAATATTTTATAATAAACCTTTAATTTTTAAAAAATACTCATATTTAATATAATGTTCTAATTTAAAAGGAAGATAAAGATGATTGGTTGTGGTTAAATTGTTTTAAAATCACCAACTTTTTTTCAGATAGTTATATTGACAAAGTGATTACTATTATTTTTAAGTATGGTTTAAATAATAGATGACCACAAATAGAAGTCAGAAGAAATAGTTTAAATTGTGATCCTATAAAATTTAAAAAAGTTATAGCATTAGAATTCCTATTTCAGTTCTAAATATTATTTGATATTAATTAATTGTTTGTGTATTAAATAAAAATTCAGTTAACCATTCTAAATAGTGTCCACTGTATTTGTAATATAATATTAAGATTTGACACCTTTAAAATATATATATATATATATATATATATATATATATATATATATATATATATATATTTCATGTTATTTATCAATCTTGAAATAGACGTGAGGAGGTAACAAATATTTTTTTGAAGGGAAATTTGTTTACGGTGATTAAAATCATTTTACTGATTTGTATAAGAACTTAAAACAGTGATTAAAAGTTTAACATTCAAGTGATAATAACTACGTCTTTTTTTAACATTAAAGTTCAAATTTAGGACCGAAAAGGATTTGATTTGTGGCTTATTTAAAATGAATTGCCTCTTTGCTATCGTTGAAAGTTTTTCAGAAAAAACATGTATAAACACATAGCCCACTAACATTAGGTACTAGCACAACATAATTTTTGTGACTATAGTTAGTGTAATTTTAATGCACATAATAATGCACTACCTATAGTTATATTAGTGGTAGTATTAATAGAATCAGGAAAAATTTCAATCCAAAAAATAACGGGACATAACAATTATCATTGTAAAGAAAAAGAAGAATCAGCTATTATGCAAGAAATTTGATTTGTCTTCAGTGGCAAAAACCTGTAGGTATTTCGAATTTTGTTCAGATCTCAGACATGACGATAAAAACTAATTCACCCATCCTCTTCTTGAGCATTTTTTTAAATGAACGGAACGCTAATTTGTGACCAATATTTTAGTTAAATTTTCTTCACTATTTATTGAAATCTATAAAGAATCACAAATTTTAAAAATGGAATGTTTATAATAGTTTTTTATTTCTTAAAATTTGTAACTAATAAGTATTTGTTAAAATATGTGATGTTCATTAATCATAATTACTGCTATTTAACATAATATTTTCCCTTTAATTACTAAAACCCAGATAATTTTTTTTCTAGACTAGTTGTTACGTGCTAGAAGAAGTGCTAGTTTGTTCGTGGAATCGTGACAGGTTGATAGAAGAAGCTCATGAACTCGGCCTCAATCAATAGTCATAATCGTAGTCGTCGTCATCATCTTTATCATCGTCGTCAATTTCAATTTCACACTCCGCACTGTACCGCAAAGCATAACCAAACAATCTCCCTTTTGTACAAGGCATCGCACTCTCTTTCTTTCTCTACCCGTCGTTGTCCCGCTTCCGAATGCGTGATCATCACCATGTATATAACAACGTACCCTTCCTCAGCCTCGTCGCTCCTCGGAGCAACCACGCCCAAAGCCCTCTATCCTTCACCTTCTAGAACATTCGCTTTTCCTCCTTCTTTCACTCCTTACTCTTCCCGCAATTCCCTCCCGCGGTGGAGTCACCGCCTCCATCGCGCCTCTCCGCTCACTCTCCTCCCTCGAATCAGAGCCGTCGCTCCCGCCGTCGAACGCTTCCACCGTGAAATCGCTACCACAGGTGCTTCACCCCTCCTCTCTCGCAATTCTGAAGCGTTTATTTGTATCCGTTCATTTTTTTCGATTTCCGTTTTGAATTTCGCGTTTCCTTATCCATTTCATTACAGTCTGTATAGCTTTCCGACACGAGCGTGCGCTCAGCGTTTTAGGCACAATTTTCTTTATTTGACAGTTTTTGAAAAGAGTAAATAATATATGTCAGTGGTGTGAATGTTTTTTACGCTATCATTTAATAGCAAATGGTCATATAATCATAGAAAGTTTCCATGTGAGAGTGTATGTCTATTAAACTCCTTTTTTAAAATTGAGGATTTTAATCATAAAGATTGTGTAATGTATGATATGAGTGACATTGTAAAAATTATGGATAAGTTTTTTATTGACTAGCATGGTAAAACTTTTCGTAAGAGTGGATGTCTATTAAACTGTTTTTTTTTTTTTTTTTTGAAGTGAGGATTTAATGTATCAACGTTTGGTTGGAGAAGTGGTGTGTGAGCACTATCATATCTACCTGCCATTGTGTGGATTTATAATATGTGTTCAAGTTTCTAACGTACATTGTTCATTTCAGCCAACGAAAATCCTTTCAAGGGAAACTTGACGAGTCTCCCCAAGCCTGGTGGTGGCGAATTTGGAAAGTTCTACAGCCTTCCTTCTCTCAATGACCCGAGAATTGGTAATTTGCTGACAGGGCTTGGCCTGACTTTGTTCATGCTTCTTGATTAAAATACACGATGTTAGTACTTCCATGTTTGTATTTTCTGTGTCACGTGTGCAGTTGTGTTACTGATGGTATCAATTTTTTGCCTGTATAACAGACAGGTTACCATACTCAATCAGAATTCTACTTGAATCTGCCATTCGTAATTGTGACAATTTTCAAGTAAAAAAAGAAGACGTAGAGAAGATTCTTGCCTGGGAAGTAAATTCTACAAAGCAAGTTGAGATTCCTTTCAAGCCCGCTCGTGTTCTTTTGCAGGTAGCTTGTTAACTTCCAGAACCTGTATACAGTGAAATCGTTATGATACGGAGTTATATGTTTTATTCTTTTGAACTTCTTTCCTCACCCCAGGATTTTACTGGAGTGCCGGCTGTTGTTGATCTGGCTTGCATGCGCGATGCTATGAATAAGCTTGGCAGTGATTCCAATAAGATCAATCCTCTGGTATGCATCTTTCTTATCACTTGCATATCTGCTTTTGTTCCGTATAAATTGTTTATCACTGTCACCAAAAATTTTTTAACTCCACATTTGGGAGCGGTGCGTGTTCCTTGAACTCATAATTACTTCTATAATGTTACACCTTAAGGTAGGTTTGGCAATCCGGTTCTGGGGTGTTAAGAGTATGTCAGTCGAAGGAACTCATGGGTATCTTTTGAAGAGATTAGCAGGGGAAAACTTAGTTTAAATAAAACATGATGGAAATTCTTCTAAACTAGTTTGACTTAAAAGCACTTAAAAACCTGTGTGGTTGCTTCGCTTAATATAAAATATTTTAAGATGAAATCTAATATTTTTGAGTTTGAAAAAGCACTGTATTAAACATATTTTCCTTATATTTTTGTTTGTTAGAAGTTATTCTGACTTCTGAGGTATAATTATGTACAGGTTCCTGTTGATCTTGTCATTGACCATTCAGTTCAAGTTGATGTTGCAAGGTCCGAAAATGCAGTGCAGGCCAATATGGAGCTTGAATTCCAGAGAAACAAGGAGAGATTTGCTTTTCTTAAATGGGGGTCAACTGCATTCCGTAACATGCTTGTTGTTCCTCCTGGTTCTGGTATAGTACATCAGGTAAGTTTGGTAAAATATATGCTAAAGGACTTCATTGAATTTAATTGTTCCTTCTATATTTAATGTCGGGGACTTGGGCTTGATGTCTTGGATTCCAGGTCAATCTTGAATATCTTGGAAAGGTTGTATTCAACAATGAGGGCCTCCTCTATCCTGACAGTGTGGTAGGGACTGATTCACATACAACTATGATAGATGGGCTTGGTGTTGCTGGATGGGGAGTAGG